GAGTCATGGTGGCCATTTTCAACATTTACTTGCATAACGGGTCAGTTCATTCTTCATTTTTAAATTACTTGGCTGCCAAATGTATCGATCTCCACTAATGATGATGTATTAGTTTCATTTAAGCTTTAAATCAATAAATCTTCAAAAGTACTGAACTGAAGTACATTAATTTTATATAATTATAAAGGGAATTGAAAGACCTTTGAAATAAGGTATCACTCGACCCCCCCTTTCCATTTAAGATTTTGGTGTCACCCCCGCTTAGGGGGCTGCACGTGCTAACGTGATTTTTTGCCAAACTTGTGTCCCCCTCGAAAACAAAATCGACTGGTCTGAGCGTTTTTCCAAAAAAAAACTGATCTGCTGATGCGCCACCCTGTATTTCAAACACGTTACCCAATGTACAGAGTTTCGTTAGCTCATTTAAAAGATACTTGAGTGTCTGTCTTATGGACTTATGGGTAAATCGGATGCATAGATTAACAATCTAAGCTCATTTTCCTTCTCCAAACAGAACTTCACGTCACTTTTATTTTTTATGATCACATTTGAACTTAGAGTGCGGAACTAAATATCTCAGTGGGTCAAGTTTCAAACTGTTGTAACTATGAACGACGAAAATGGAATTTTTGCAAAGTTTGTATAGTCAACGCCAAACAAAGTGGCGTGCACGTCATCAAGGTGGGTGTGTTGAAAAATTTACATTGTTGCCAAACTTTTTGTAAAATAATAAAATTTATTATTTACATATCTAGGTTTATAAGCAATATTAACCTCAAATGAGAACAAAAATAATAGTATAATAAAATTATAGATCTGTACTTGCATAATCATTAAGTATGACAATTATTGATCAGATGACACTATGAAACTACCATATTTAATTGATTGCTTAAAGGTACTGAATAAAAATCCAAATGCTGTCCTCCAAATTTTATGCATGGTATTTATTTTACAGAATTCATACAGAAAAATGCATTCTAAAATTAGGTAAGCTACTGGTGTAAGCTTTTTCTGTACAATAAAGTTAGTCGGAGTTTCTTTCTTCAACGCTGTCTGAATCTGAATCTTCATCACTCTCAAAGTTGATTATTAAAGGTTCGATGTCTGGTCGATCAAAAATTCGTTCTCTTTCATACCATTTAAAAATTTCTTGCTCAGTATGTCGAACACTATTTTTCCACATGTCTGGGGTAACCGTTTGTAGAGCCTCGTTCCACATATCCAAACAGTCTTTTTCACTGTTACCATCTCTACCAATATGTCTGTTATAGTAACCTTTTGCTATGCCCAAATTAACTCAATAGAGTTAAATATACAATGGTAAGGAGGCAGACGAAGAACTTTGTGCCCATGTTGTTCCGCCAATTCATCAATCACGTATATTTTAGGTGGTTTGTTTCTAAAAAAGCAGTTATTTTAAGAATAGGAATAAACAAAAGAAATATAAACTGTCGACCAAAATATATATAATTAAGAAGCATTATGTACCGAGCAACAATACTCAATAGCTCTGTTTTAAACATTGTGTTTAAAAATGGTATGTTTGATTTGTCAACCAGTCTTGGATATTTTTTTTTGTCCATGCATTGTTGGGCACTTTGTTCAATATCATGCTGTGATAAGGGTCGTTATCCAGTATAATCATAGATGGACTCTCCAATTTTTCTAATAACTGATGTTGAAACCATTTCAAAAAATTGTCCTGGTTCATCTCTCCATTTTCATTTCCAGCATGTAATATAATGTATCTAAAATATATTAGTTTTAAATTTTATAGTGCAAATTGTGTAAAAGTACATACCTTTTACCATCTGTTTTAATAGCTTTCACGCTTTTTTGGTTTCCATTTTGCCAAGAGCGACCTATGGTCCCATTTTGAAATATCCAAGTTTCATCGAGGAAGACAAACTGGTATAAGGCCTCAACCTTGGCTTGATTGTATTGCCTTAGAAATTCCACCCTTTTCAAAGCTATACTTGGTAGTTCCATGAGCCCTCGTCGCGGATTGTCCTTAAGCCACTTAAATCCAAGATCTCTAAGCAACCGCCTTAAAGACGTGGCACTACCATCAAATAATGCCCTATCTCTTAATCGAGACCATAAAGTTTGTATCGTAACTTGTTCTTCTGAAACCATGTGTAATATGACATTATAATTTAGTTAACAAATTAATGCAAATTTCTGATAAGTTATTATAATAAGATCTTACTTTTGTGATACATATTATAGATCACTTCTCGAATGGCACTTGTATCCAATGTCGCTGTGTTGGTTACACGTTTAATATAACTCCGCTTTTTCTTGGGCGATTCTAAATTTGCATCTCTTTTCACACCTTCGGAAATACGACTAACTGTCCTTAAACTAATTTTTAAAGCAGCAGCAACACGCTACAAAAAATGAAATAAAATTTCACTATTATTAATATACATTACATATAATTATTAGTAACCTACCTCTTGAACAGCATTTAAAGGCAACAAAGGCCCGTTGTTGTCCCTTTCTTGCTCAAAGTAGTGCATTAACGAGGCCACGAGTTCCTTACACCGACTATTTAACTGTTTGGGCATCTTTATATACCAAAATTGCCTTTATCTACTCGTAAAATGAATAATTTTGTTTTGAAACAAACAGTTGTTGATTTACAGTATGCGGGGCCAAAGGATTTATAAAGATTTGAAATGCCACAAATTGATTCAGTGTCAAAATTAATACAAATGTCAGTTCCCAGTTTAAATAAGTTTCAAGGTGACAATGTGTCAACGCTGCGAAATCGGTTTAGTGCGTTTACATGTCGATAAGTGATTGGAGCGTTTGCAAAACATTTTATTTCGCATAATGCGTCTAAATTTATCAGAAAGCAACTTATGTGATATTTTAATAACAATGTTTATATGACTATTAACCATAATAAGAGAGTAACGACCATTTTACAATTTATATATCACATTAATATGAAACTGCAATAGAGCAATTGTTTGTGATAGAAACCTAGGCATTAGGTCGGGGAATTTTTATCGTGATGACGTGCACGCCACTTTGTTTGGCGTTGACTATATATCATCTTCTGATGACACCGGACATTCATGAAACATACAGGTAGAAACGTTCTATTGTCAGTCAAACTGCAACCATTAACTAGCGTTTTTGCCAATTTGTCCCTCTAGAACAACAAAGCATTAATTTGCGCTTGGACTACTTTTATACTGACTCAACCACGGAGGGAAACGTTAATTTTGCGTATTTCGAAATAAAAAAATTGCGTCTGCTAACGAGTGATGCTGAAACTTTAATCCCCGTACAGGTATGGCATGATAATAATTTCAGAAATGTCATAGGTTGATCGCGGCTGGATGAGGTCGTAGGTCGTGAGGTCCGCCCCCTCAACTCCCGGGCCTTGGTGGCGGTTGCGGAGGCGGCAGATTCCTGCCGAGTTGCCCGCTTCTGCCGCCAGATGGCGCGGCGACGGGACGCACGCGCGCCCCCCCCGATCAATACGGGAGGACCGTCGTGACGTCATCGGGCGCAGGGACAGCCATTGGCTCGCGGTGTTGCCGCATTCCGAAGGACGGAGGGAGATTTACGAGAGTTTTGAGCAGGGCTGGGCTTGGTGTTTGTGCTGCCTTTCTTTCCAAAAATAATTGTATTGGTGAAATGAATGATGAAAAATGAAACGTATCTGGTAATTATTGAAGGATGAACTGAAATGTTACGGAACATGCAGAATATGCGTTGAAGAATTTCTAATGTCAGCATTATGCATATGAAAAATTATGCCGTCATCTAATCTAGGGGTCGAGGTGAAGAAAGGAAACAACGTTGAAAGGGAATGAAGAGCAAAGAGGAGGAAGTGTGTTGATTGGAATGTTGCCTAGGCGTTTATTGTAGAGATCCAATCTCTAAAAGAGCATTGAAATCCAACACTAACAACTACATGCCCTCAGTTGTGCTTCCTACAAAATCAAATGTGATGGAAAAGGGCATTGATAGGAAGATTCTAAAATATCCCGAGTATCACCGCCTGATTAGACAGCATAGTTTGTGATATCCGATATTAGTTTTTGGTGAGTCTCACGTCGTTACTTTTGATTTTACAAAGGCTTTTGTTCAGTTGTAAGCTTTTATGCTGTCTCTAAGGGCCGTATTGTTAGTCGTTCTTACAATTGTAGGACGTCTTTATGGCTTCCTTGATTTTCATAGTCATTTCTCTCCGTCAGAAAGGCTGGGGTATTTCTAGATTTCACCTGTTCCTTGTCAGCGTCAGCTCTCTCCTATTGCGATGTTATGTTTTCGTTTTGAATTGTAGGAAATTTCAGGCTGATAAAACAGATTATATAAATCAAAGAAATGAACAATTTGATGTATATAGATATTAGTAACATAACCTCAAAATAGAGCGCTAAAACGCCTCTAAGAGGCTCATTATCTCACAATATAAACATGGATCCCATCCTTAACGTCGTTTTTGGAGATCTTATAATGACAACCTTTAGAATTCAATTCAATTCATATTTTCAAAAACTCTTGGGTATCTGGAGTCTCGACCAAAAACCGGTTTTTCATTGAATCTGATGCCTAGATAACGAATCTGATGTCAGTTTTTCGATAACATCTAAAAAAGGCCCCAAAATTACAGAGAGGGCTGTGCGACACTTTAGTATTTTGATGACGATGTTCAAAATCAGCGTTTCAAATTACTGCAGTGTACCTAGTTCTGTTCGCATGCAATAACGTTGTATGAACATCGAAATAAGATAGCACAAAGTGCCATCTATTACCAGAATCGACCATTGCGACAGAGAAAACAGCAAGCTGTCTCTTAAAGCAGTGTTCCAGTTCGTATTTAACAAATAAGCGAAAGTATGAAACAGCTGTCCATGGTTGGTAGTCTCTACTAAAGTGAAAATCGAAATCTAGAAAAGTTTTGCCAATTCTCTTAACCTTGGTTTTAGATTGCTCGTGAATCCGATTAGCAAATGATATCAACTTTTTTGTATTTATTGAACTGCCTCAGTATGTGAGCTTTGCCTTCGTCTGCTCCAAATCCAAACTAACTAATCTAACTTCGGTTGGATTCCAAGTGAATATCAAATATCGGGATGCTTCAGAATGGCGTTAGCGCATGCAAGGCTCAGTATTGTTATCCTACATGAGACACAAATCTTCCCCCATTTGCTTTGTTATTCATCCATCAACCTTTTCGTTATTTAAAAATATGGTGAAGGTGCATTTGAAGGACAGTGGGTATATTCAATGTTTTTTTGTTGTTATTCTTCTTATCTCACGGCTAATAATGTTTGTTTTTCCTTTATTGATGTATTTAAAGATACAAAATAGATATGCATAAATATCGCGCTGAGTAGCAACTAGATACTTCAAGGATTTGTTTTGTTATCCAATCCTCACTTTTTCTGTTATTTTAAAAAATGATGAAGGTCCATTCAAAATACAAAATACACATCTGCATGCGCTCGAATCTGTTTTCGAAGCACTTATTCCACTCGTTTGCTGGCAGATCCAAAACGGCATTTTTGAATGCGTCAACTGCTTCTTCTGGTGACTGGAACCTTTGACCACCTAGTGGTTTTTAATTTTCGGGAAAGTAAAGAAATCGTTAGGACTTAGATCGGGATTCTTCTTTCGGGGTTGATTTTTCGAAGCTCGCTGATGACTTTTGGCAAACAAATGGTGGTATACCAATCCGCAGTAACAGTTCTTTGCTCATTAAGAGGAATTGTTGAAATATGACCCGCTTTTGGCACAAATGTCGCGACCATCTATTTCGAAACACTTCGAGAACGGATGACTTTTGTTGGCTTTCCTTCACCTTGGAACACCCAAACAGCCGACTGTCGTTTATCTTCTGGTTCATAACAGTAAATCCACGATTCATCACCACTAACAATGCTGTACACATTTTTTGAGTTTCCGGAATTGAAGCGGTCAAGCGTTTTTTGACACCAATTAACCCTGGCTGCTTTCTGCTCTTCAGTCAACAGGTAGGGTATCCAAGGAGAAACTAATTTTCTTACTCCTAATTCTTCATGTAAAATTTTTTGAATGGAGGTCTTTAAGATCTTCAAGGACACCTCAATCTCGCGATATGTCACATGTCTATCTTCAATGATGAGTTTGCGCACAGGATCGACGTTTTCCTGGGTGACTGCCGTATTTAATGCACCCACCCTGGGATCGTCGCTAAGATTTACCCGCCTACGTTTGAATTCTCCATACCAACGAGAAGTTGTCGACTGATGTGGCGCTTCGTTGCCGAAAACAGATAGTGTCTCAGCAAGGTATTCTTGTTGCGATAATTATCGCTGAAAGTTGTAATAAATTATGGCGCGAAAATGTTCTCGGTTGAGTTAAATTTTTCTAATGACTTGGTGACACTTAAAAATTCACTGTAGTGTTGTTAAATTTTTAATTTAATTTTACTAAAGAGTGAGGTTAAGATTCAGTACTGACGTTCGATCCGCGCGGCCTACTATGTTTCTATATGCAAAACTTAAAAGACATCCCTCGTAAAGAGTAATTTTCATTGATTTTTGTCGTTTTATTTTTTCTCGCGGCTAAGGATATTTGTATTTCCTGTATTAATGCAGTCAAAGAACGAAAATAGTAGATATGCAAAAAATATTGCGCTATAGCTTTCTCAGATTTTGAACCTTGAACTTACACAAAAAATGCGGTTTTCCTGGGATATAAGTGTCATACCAAATACAGGTATAAAAAAATAAGTCAATCTAAATTTTACAAGTTCAATGTTTTGTGTCACAAGCTCCATACCCTGTGCTGTCAAAGCAAAAGAATGCTTCTCAGTAATTTAATTATGAATTAGTTACAAACACCAATAACAACTGCGGTTTTGAATGTATGCATATTATCAGAACTTTGGAAGACTTTTGGGCATAATGATCCATAAGCAATACATAAATAACCATATGTTTACTGATAGAACATCATTCTAGAAACTAGTACGGACGTCACTTTTCGTCAAATTTGTCGCTCCAATCCATAGAACTTGCTACCTTGCGCGATTTGTATCGCATCTTGTACAGTTTATTACTTCCAAAACACAGTACTGTTCCTTAACGAACAAAAAGCGTCCTAGCGGTCATCCGGTTTTGAGGAATGGCCGCTTTCTGCCAGAAAGTAGTTCATTTCGGGTAGATCACAGAGGACTTGTTCTTGCACGAACACGTCTCGGCAATAGCGGACGCTGTTGGGAGAAAGTTTAGGTTTAAAGAAATTCACCTATTCGTTGACTTTTTTGTACATAGACATTTCAATAGTCAGCTCAAAAGGTGTTGATGTTGATAAGAAGACAAGCAAGTGAAAATATCGACTCCGGCCCTGGATTTTCAACCGTAACTCTAATTTTATGCAACACCTTGGTGACTTTAATTTTAATAAAATCACCCTGTACTCGTATATCCGTAAATAACGAATTTAAGCTTTTTTTTCATTACCATACGTGAGAAGGACTCGGCCCACACTACCTACCATTTCTCAATGTCTATCCATCTAAAAGACGCAGTATCTGTCAAAGTGTTATTGACCAATTATTATGCATATTCTAGTCCACAATGACGTATGCAATTTTGGTGTAAGGCACTATCCACACATGCAAAAAGTTTTTGGCATGCAAAAGCGATGTATCCGTTACATTTTGGGCTTAAAATATAGAGATCCCTGCAAGGTTGAGTTAGTCAAATGGGGGATACCGACTCTACCATGCACTTACATTTTGAGTTGCTTGTTGTAGTCGTATGTGAAAGGCAATTGTAGACTCTTCTCCACTCACAGAAACTTGTACTGTTATGAAACTCACAATACACATGATATTTGCTCTAATAGCCATCGCTCTGACCAAACCAGAAACGGGAAAAAATTTTATGGTATTACATTTTTTAACGTGTTGCCAAAAGCTGTCAAATTGCTTTTCACAACAGACTCAAAGACTATCTAAGAAAAAAAGCATTCTCCTTTTGTAAATGTTCGTATTATTTTTTATTTTAGTCTGTCCCGCGTTTCCGCATGCGCTAATGATCATACTCATTACATAACTCTATGTATTTTTTTCGCTGGTGTGTTTATATTTATTATCTCCCGCATTTGCGGCTGTGCCAATGTACTTACTTATTTTACTGTGTTTCGCTTTGTCCGTATGTCTGTATATGTTATAGTCTAATCATACGAGCCCCTTCCCACTTCAGTTGGCCCAACTATTGAAATCTTAGTTTTTTCCTTATCAAACACAAATAATAAAAATGTAGCACGGTGTTATAGGTTTAAAATATTAACAATGAATATTTTGATAATATATAGTAGAAAACACCAACTTTATCACTCCCTAATCAAATTTGCAGCATAAAAAAAAGACATGTTGTAATTACAGCATATCAACCTATTTTCATTTCAATGCAAAAGAAGTCTATAACGCATAGGTGGCTGTGAAAAATAAAAGCCATGACAATTGTTTTTATTAATCACAGCTGTCAGAATACGTTTAAAATGGTTTTGGGTAGTTAAGGTTTTCAAAATGGGTAGAGGAAAGGTTCACTGATCAACAGCCAAAAAATATCCTAAATAAAATCAACAAAATATTACTATTTTTAATGTGCTAAAACCGGAATGAAACTTATTTTTTCAATATTAGTTCAAGTTTTAGAGATACGGTAATTATATGTGTTCCTGCTGTGATAGTGTTAATATACTGTAATTCACAAAGAATGCACGTGCTACATTTTTATATTCGGCAAGGAAAGATGATGTAATCGGCATGATTGTGTTACGTTATACATACGTGTACATTATATTGTTTTATATTAGCCATTTTTCCTCAGTTGGCTGACAGCGTTCATGCAAGATGTCTCGAAAGTGTGTAAACAATCCAGATCAGTTTTGTTACGAGTGTGGTGATGTGACTTTTGCGTCTCAGAGACGGTCTATTACTCCACTAATAACAAAGGCATATCGGCTTTATTTCGGTTGTAAACTAGGTGATCAAGACAAACAGTGGGCACCCCACATCTGCTGTAATACATGTGCTTCAAGTCTGAGGAGCTGGTTAAATGGCAAAAAACGGTCTATGCGCTTTGCTGTCCCAATGGTTTGGAGAGAGCCTACAAATCATATTAATGATTGTTACTTTTGCATGGTACCTTGTGTTGGACAAGCCACAGGTATGTCCAAGAAAAAAAAATCGGTTATTAACTACCCAAACATACCATCTGCGATGAGACCTGTGCCTCACAGTGACGAAAATCCTATTCCAAAACCCCCAGAATCCTACACTTGCGAATCAGAAAACGAATCAGATCATGACGATCGAGTGATTCGTCAGGAAGAAGATATGCCATCAACGTCAAGAGATCCTGATGTTCTACCGAGCACGTCATGCCACCAACCGCACAAAATAACACAGTCAGAATTAAATGATCTTGTAAGAGATTTAGAACTTCCAAAATGTAAGGCAGAGTTACTTGGATCAAGACTGCAGCAGTGGAACTTGTTAGAAGACGATGTTTCGGTATGTGTTTTTCGTAAACGCCACAAAGACTTAGAACCATTTTTCAATATGGAGAATAACTTGGTTTTCTGCAGTAACATTAACGGCTTACTGGCGGCTTTAAATATAAACTATAACCCAGAAGAATGGAGATTGTTTATAGACAGTTCAACATTGAGTTTAAAGGCAGTGTTATTGCATATTGGAAATATTTTACCATCTCTTCCTGTAGGGTATGCAGTTCACACGAAAGAATCATATGACAATATGTAGTACCTATTGACATGCATAAAATACGATGAGCACCAATGGCATATTTGTGGCGATTTGAAAATTGTTGCACTTTTACCTGGGCTGCAGCTAGGCTACACAAAGTTTTTCTGTTTTTTGTGTGAATGGGAGTCGGGCAAAGGCACTTCATTACACCAGACAAAACTGGCCTGTTCGTCAATTCCTAGAGCCAGGTCAAAAAAATGTACAGCATATGCCATTAGTAGATTCGAAAAAAAATTTATTACCACCACTGCATATCAAGTTGGGCCTAATGAAAAACTTTGTCAAGGCATTAGATAGAGATAGGTCAGCTTTTCAATACCTGCGTCAGAAATTTCCAAGACTGAGTGAGGCAAAGGTTAAAGAAGGTATTTTTGTTGGGCCACAGATTCGAAATATTTTGAAAGATACACAGTTTGAAAACACTTTAACAGGTATTGAAAAAACTGCTTGGAATGACTTCCGTCTGGTGGTCACTAATTTCTTAGGAAATAGAAAAGCTGACAACTATAAAACCCTTGTCAAAAATATGCTGTCATCGTATCAAAAGATGGGCTGTAATATGTCTCTTAAGATACATTTCCTACACTCACACCTGGACTTTTTCCTGACAATTGCGGAGCCGTAAGTGATGATTACGACGAACGTTTTCATCAGAATATTTCAACAATGGAAAAAAGGTACCAGGGAAAGTGGAATCCTTCCATGCTTGCAGACTACTGTTGGACTCTTGGTAGAGATGCTCCAGAAACGATCCATAAAAGAACAGCAAAAAGACAGCGGTTATAGTGATTCTTATAAGTATATGAATCTTGTTACTTTTTTTAATATATCCTTAAAAATAAAAAGTTTTTTTTCTAAACCGCAACCAATTTTTTTATTTCATTGTCATTTTTGGATTCAGCGCCCCAAAATTAACAAAGAAGTGCACTTTTCCCGCAAGATACAATTAAAAAACTAAAATTTGTTGTCCAGTAATAATTATTAGAGAGAAAATTCGGTTACTGATAATTAAATTTTTTAATTCTGGGAAATCAAACTCAGAAATTGCAACTTTGTTAGACTTATCGCGGTACAGTGTGAGAAATATTGTTAGAAGATATAACGTAACTGGTTCAGTTAATATTAAGCCACGATATGTGAAAAAAAGTAATATCACAAAAGCCGACCGAAGAGCATTAAGAAGAATAATCGTGAAAAACAGGCGTGCCAATTATCTACAATTAACTGCTCTGTAGAGTGACGCTGTTGGAAGGAGAATTTCGAGGTCCACAACTCATAGAGAGGCCCACAAACTGGGATTTAGCACTTGCAAGGTAAAATTTCTTATAAAAAAAGTGAAGTAAAAACCCTTAAGTTGCACAACTTGTTTATAGGCCAAAGAAAAGAAACTATTAACTCCACTGCAAAAGAAAAATCTGCTTGGATGGGCTAAAGAACATAGACAATGGACACCTCAACAATGGTGTGTAATACAATGGAGTGATGATACCCGATTCGAAGTTTGTGTTGGTGACAGTCGCAGTAGAGTTATTCGCAAAAAAATGAAGCATTCCATGTTGACTGTCTGAAGAGAAAAGTGAAATTTCCAGCATCCATTATGATCTGGGGCAGTAGTCTCATTTTGTAGGTCTCATAAATACGAGGGGCAAGTAAAAAGTAAGGTTCCCACATTTTTTTCAGGTGTAAGACATTTTTTATTGAAATTGCAAGTTACACCATCTGAAAGCTTGGTCTCTTAGCTACTTTTCTACATACTCGCCAAATTTTTCTACACATTTTTGCTGTCGAGAAATCCACTTTTGAAAACCTGCCTCTAAAACCGTCGCCGCCAACCCGTTGAGGTACGTGGTGACTGCATTCTGGACCTCTTCGTCCGTAGCGAAGCGTTGTCCACCCAGGTGTTGCTTCAATTTCGGGAACAAGTGGAAATCGCTCGGGGCAAGATCAGGGCTATAGGCAGCTTGCTCCACGATTTCCCAGCCAAATTGTCCGATTAAGGCTTTGGTGTTGCGAGAGACGTGTGGGCGCGCATTGTCGTGATGGAGCCTAACGCCCTTCGTGAGTCTTCCTCTCCGGCGATTTTGGATGGCTCTTCTGAGTTTCTTTAGTGTCTCGCAGTATCTTTCCGAATTTATGGTGGTCCCAGTAGGCATGAAATCCACGAGAAGGACGCCTTTACGGTCCCAAAAAACCGTAGCCATCACTTTTCCTGCGGAGAGCGTCTGCTTGAATTTCTTCGGTCTGGGCGAATCGGAATGGCGCCATTGTTTGGACTGTTGTTTGGTTTCCGGCGTGACGTAATGGCACCACGTTTCATCTCCCGTTACAATAGAGTCCAAAAATTCTTCGGTATTCTCGGCACATTGCTGAAGAAACTCCCGAGCACACTTGACGCGGTTCTCTTTGTGGGTGTCTGAGAGCATATGCGGTACCCACCGCGCACACACCTTGCGATAACCGAGTTTTTCAGTCAAAATGTTGTCGATTGTTTTCTCTGAAACCTCAGGCACTTTTTCAGCCAGTTCCCGAAGCGTTGCTCGCCGATCCTCCTGGAGAAGACGGTCGATTTTTGCCACGACGTCGTCGGACACCGATGGCCTTCCACTTCTTGGCTCGTCGTGAATGTCTGTTCGTCCTCCGGAAAACTCCCTGCACCATTTACGGACGTGTTGCACCCTGATGCAAGCTTCCCCATAAATTTCTGTTAACTGCCGATGAATTTCAACAGGCGGTAACTTCTTGGCGTTGAGAAAACGGATCACTGCCCGGATCTCGCACCTGGCGGTGACGGCGATTGCGGGCTCCATCTCGAACGGCTGTCAGGCCGGCACTGAGCGTCTTAGCGACCTCCCCGGCCGCTAGGAATGAAGTGGGGGAACAGACGCACACGGCGGTGTCGCCGGATTTCGCCTAGCAACACGCGCGGCGGAGCTACAGCGTTGGGAACCTTACTTTTTACTTGCCCCTCGTACCTATAACTCTTATGTGAAAAGTTCTTTCGTCACTGTCAACACTTTCGATTGAATCCCAAAGAACACGTTTTCTCATTCTTTGTTGTCGAATAAAAAGTTGTCCACAAAAATTGGTGTACCCATTTTATGCGTCCATGTTTTGAATACCCCCTTGAACCACTTGCACCGATAAAACCAGACTTTACAATTATTTCGGGGAAATTCGCTAATATGATTAGACTATTTTAGTTTATTAATCTAGAATTTTAATTGTTTTCTAAATGCCCCTCAAGACAGACATGTCTTTTCAGCATGCACTTCTTTGACATGTTTAAGCACATTTGCGTAGTAACACCAATATTATTATGTCTATTTAAGTATGGAACACACTGCATACGCTTATGCCGCGCATCGGTATCCCGGCCCGATCCTGTCTATCCCTAAAGCTTCGCCTGGCAACGCTGTCGACCGGTGGCGAACTCGTCCCATTATTTATGAAAAGCAGCGTATGAATGGGCAACGACAATCGCCACCGCCAGCAAAATCGCGACCACCTCACCGACCTCGCGACCGATCCGACCCCCTGGAGCACCACCAAGGCCCAGAGCCTCGCGTAGCGCGTCCCGCATTATGCCCAGTGCGTTTGTGAGTGAGGTGCTTCCCAGCGCAAGGTGATGCCCCCCCGACCTAAGAGGGCTTTGGCAGCAGCCGGCTAGCATGGAGCCTGCCGCAGGAGAAGAGGGGCCCGATCTGTCGCATCTCACCGAAGAGGAAAGGGCCATCATTGAATCGGTGATGATGAGGCAGAAACAAGAAGAGGAACGGGAAAAGGAGATACTTAGGTAGGAATCAGGATCACCCGATCGATTACGGTGCATTGGACAGTCAGTGACTCCGATGGGCTAAATATAACCGTGGAGCAGACCCATTGCCCATTTAGCCCTCTCTCATACGCATAATCTAAAAAATCTACTAATGATCTTATCAATTAGCAAAATACATCTTATACACAATACACTTGATTTGTACCCGCACCTTATTGCATCTAAGCATCCTTCCTATGTTTGTTTGAGAAAACTATATGGTTCATATTCTTCGAGCACTTTCTCAAAAGAATTGACTGTCAATATCTAAGCAATGCATGAAACCTGAACGTCTATGTGCGTTTTTAAAAATAAATGGATTGAGATTCACAGCAACGCCATATCGAACTTGAGAATCATGAAGATATCCAGATTGGGTTGGAGATGTGCCAGAATTCTTAGAAAGATTACCATCTTGGAAAAGTAGCATCTGGACGCTTGCCTTTCGATCTCGTCATGTTCTTTTATGATCTAAATATAGACTAGGCGCTAAGTTAGCGGCTGCTAGGATAATTTGTATCAGAAATGACACGGTGAAATGATATTCGTTTCAAAATTCTCAATTATTACTTATACATTTTAGTTATCTAGGCATCTTGTGGAACCTGCTTGTAGGTTGAAAATATAACCTTTATATAACCGTTGTCTATTCAGCCCTTTTTCATACTCACAATCTCAAATATTAACTTTGTACTCAATACACTCGGTTTCTACCCGCACCTTATTGAATTTAATCCTTCTTTCTATGATCTTTTTAAAAGACTGATCGCTAGTCTGATATTCGTTGATCACTTTCTCAGCAGAATTGACCGTGAATAACTAAGCAATGCATGAAACCTCAACATCAATGTGCGTTTCTAAAAATAAATGGATTGAAATTGACAGCAACGCCATATCGCACTTGAGAATCATGAAGATATCCAGATTGGGTTGGAGATGTGCCAGAATTCTTACAAAGATTACCATCTTGGAAAAGTAGCATCTGGAGACGCTTGCCTTTCGATCTTGTCATGTTCTTTTATGATCTAAATATAGACTAGGTGCTAAGTTAGCGGCTGCTAGGATAATTTGTATCAGAAATGACACGGTGAAATGATATTCGTTTCACAATTCTCAATTATTACTTATACATTTCAGTTATCTAGGCATCTTGTGGAACCTAGTTGTAGGTTGAAAATATAACCTTTATATATATAACCGTTGTCTATTCAGCCCTTTTTCATACTCACAATCTCAAATATTAACTTTGTACTCAATACACTCGGTTTCTACCCGCACCTTATTGAATTTAATCCTTCTTTCTATGTTCTCTTTAAAAGACCGATCGCTAGGCTGATATTCGTTGATCACTTTCTCAGCAGAATTGACTGTGAATAACTAAGCAATGCATGAAACCTCAGCGTCAATGTGCGTTTCTAAAAATAAATGGATTGAGATTGACACCAACGCCATATCGTACTTGAGAATCTTGAAGATATCCAGATTGAGTTGGAGATTTGCCAGAATCCTTGTAAAGATTACCATCTTGGAAAGTAGCATTTGGTCGCTTGCCTTTCGATCTTGTCATGTTCTTTTATGATCTAAATATAGACTAGGTGCTAAGTTAGCGGCTGCTAGGATAATTTGTATCAGAAATGACACGGTGAAATGATATTCGTTTCACAATTCTCAATTATTACTTATACATTTCACTTATCTAGGCATCTTGTGGAACCTGATTGTAGGTTGAAAATATAATCTTTATATAACCGTTGTCTATTCAGCCCTTTTTCATACTCACAATCTCAAATATTAACTTTGTACTCATTACACCCGTTTTCTACCCGCACCTTGTTGAATTTAATCCTTCTTTCTATGTTCTCTTTAAACGACTGATCGCTAGGCTGATATTCGTAGTTCACTTCCTCAGCAGAATTGACTGTGAATATCTAAGCAATGCATGAAACCTCAACGTCAATGTGCGTTTCTAAAAATAAACAGATTGAGATTGACAGTAACGTCAAATCGCACTTCAATATTTTGAGAATCTTGAAGCTATCTAGATTGGGTTGGAGATGTGCCAGAATCCTTACAAAGATTACCATCTTGGAAAAGTAGCATCTGGTCGCTTGCCTTTCGATCTTGTCATGTTCTTTTACGATCTAAATATAGACTAGATGCTACGTTATAGGCTGCAAGGATAATTTGTGTCAGAAATGACATGGTGAAATAATATCCGTTTCACAATTCGCAATGCTTACGAATACACTTTAGTTATCTATGAATTTTGTAGAACCTGGTTGTAGGCTGAAAATATAACCTTGATGCAGACCCACTATCTATTCTGCCCTTTTTATCAATTAACAAAAAACTTGGTGCTCAATATACTTGATTTGTACCTGCACCTTATTGCATCTAAGCCTTCATTCTATGTTCTCTTTAGAAGACTACCATTTTCTCTAAGCTATGTATGAAACATCAATGTCTTTGTGAGTATCTAAAAATAAACCGGTATAGACTGTCAGTAGCGCCATATTGTACTTCAATATTTTGAGAATCTTGAAGATATCCAGATTGAGTTGGAGATTTGCCAGAATCCTTGCAAAGATTACCATCTTGGAAAAGTAGCATCTGGTCGCTTGCCTTTCGATCTTGTCATGTTCTTTTATGATCTAAATATAGACTAGATGCTACGTTACAGGCTGCTAAGATAATTTGTATCAGAAATGACACGGTGAAATGATATTCGTTTCACAATTCTCAATTATTACTTATACATTTCAGTTATCTAGGCATCTTGTGGAACCTAGTTGTAGGTTGAAAATATAACCCTTATATGACCGTTGTCTATTCAGCCCTTTTTCATACTCACAATGTCAAATATTAACTTTGTACTCAATACACTCGGTTTCTACCCGCACCTTATTGAATTTAATCCTTCTTTTTATGTTCTCTTTAAAAGACTGATCGCTAGGCTGATATTCGTTGATCACTTTCTCAGCAGAATTGACTGTGAATAACTAAGCAAGGCATGAAACTTCAACGTCAATGTGCGTTTCTAAAAATAAATGGATTGAGATTGACAGTAACGCCAAATCGCTCTTCAATATTTTGAGAATCTTGAAGCTATCCAGATTGGGTTGGAGATGTGCCAGAATCCTTACAAAGATTACCATCTTGGAAAACTAGCATCTGGTCGCTTGCTTTTCGATCTTGTCATGTTCTTTTATGATCTAAATATAGACTAGGTGCTAAGTTAGCGGCTGATAGGATAATTTGTATCAGAAATGATATGGTGAAATAATATCCGTTTCATAATTCTCAATCCTTACGAATACACTTCAGTTATCTAGGAATTTTGTAGGACCTGGTTGTAGGCTGAAAATATAACCTTGGTGCAGACCCACTGTCTATTCAGCTCTCTTTATTAATTAACAAAAAACTATTTTGAGAATCTTGAAGATATTTAGATAGAGTTGGAGATTTGCCAGAATCCTTGTAAAGATTACCATCTTGGAAAGTAGCATCTGGTCGCTTGCCTTTCGATCTTGTCATGTTCTTTTATGATCTAAATATAGACTAGATGCTACGTTACAGGCTGCAAGGATAATTTGTATCAGAAATGATGAGGTAAAAATAAAATTCGTGCCACAATTCTGATTACGTATTCACTTCCGTTATGTAGGAAGCTTGTAGAACCTGGGACCACGTTGCAGCCAATCAGTTCTTTTTAATGCTCACAATCACCAAAATCTCCTAGTGACCGAACCAATTACCAAAATACTCCTTATACACAATACACTTGATTTGTACCTGCACCTTATTGCATCTAAGACTTGTTTCTCTATTTTCGTCAGAAGATTGACCGCCTAAGCTTATATTCCTCAATCACTTTCTCAGAAGCACTGACTATCAGTGTTTAAACTATGTATGAAACCACTATTTTTGTGCGTATCTAAAAATAAATGGGTTTAGAATGACAGTAGCGCCATATCGTACCTCAATTGTTTGAGAATTTGGAGATATCTGGATTGGGTTGGAGATGTGGCAGAATCTAGGGAAAATGGCATTTGGACAATTGCATTTCGATCTTATCGTGTCCTTTTATTATCTAAGTATAGACTATGTGCTATGCTAGAGGCTGCAAGAATAATTAGTTTAAAAAACAATGTGGAAAAATGAAATGCGTTTCACAATTTTCAATTATTACTTAACTGACTGCCATAAATTCATATTGGATACATGGATCATTGTATCTATCGTGATCGTACACTGGAAATACAGGGTGTAAACGCTATGATAGTCATTATTTAAACGGGTGATAGAGGGTGTTAAAAGAAGTAAAAAGTTTTATGGGAGTCAAAACGGCATTTTTTTAGAGAAAAGCTACTTCAAAGTAAAATAAAATCTGACAACCTCGCAATGCCAGACGCAAATTACGGCGGAACGTAGTGTAAATAAAGATGAAGTTCGTTATTTTTGGCTCTTAGGTATTATTTCATTATTTGATAATGTACTCGTAAAATGCAAATAATTAAAAAAAACGGGCTTACCAACTGTCTCAGCGATTCACCTGGTCTGTGAAACTTTATTACATTGTTTTTCTTTTTAAAACCCACACTGCACCTTTTTTGTATTTAAAGAAGGTGAACAAAATGTCGTCCTCCACTTTCCACACAAGCTTCATTACGACAAACCCAGTTTCTTCCTACTCTAGGTCCTCGAAGTTGTCCATTTGTTATTTCAGCCGCATTAAATTTTTTTTCGGGAAGTTGTGCTTCAGTTGTTATTGGACCAGCCCCATAAACCATCCCTTTAAGTTCTCCCCAATACCAGAAATCTATTGGATTGAGGTTAGGAGATCTTGCTGGCCATTTTCGAGGATCAGGAGCATTTCGACCGATCCAGCGATTTGAATAATGTTCATTCAAATACTGAATGACGCATCTAAAAATGTGTGGTGCCCCGTCATGAAGAAACCATAAATTATGTCCCGTTGT